TTTTTTTCGAAATTGTTCTCGCCAAACATTATGCGTTTCTCTTATAGGAATGTACCCATAAAATATGAATAATATTTATGTAAACTTTCTACTATTAAGTTCGTCTTGCCATTTCTCTACTATTGAAGGTAAAAAAGGTATGTATTCGAATTATTCATCAATTTAAAGTAAATATCAATGCAATTATGTTAGCTGAGAGCAGTCATTATTAGGCTTCCATTTTTTTTTTGTTGTTGTTTATTTCATTCTTTCACTTAAATGGTAACATTATAAGAGACATTCCCTCGATTTACTGTCGTCGAGCAACAATCATTTCGTTCACTATACAAAAAAAAAGGAATTTTGCTTTAAAAATAAGAATCAATAAAAGCAAACAAAATATGAATTCATTTCTTGTTGTAGTGAAAAAGAGAATAATTGCTTCACCATGACAATAAACCGATGGAATGTCGGTTAATCTGGAAATCAAGTCGAACTATGTCTTGTAATTGTTCCTTTCTGAAATTGTATTATTGTAAATTTTAGATAAATCATGTCGTCTGATTCAGTTATCACTGTTAACGATATTCATTCTCAATTGAATCCGACTAGAGTGACTGAAATCGTCAAGGTTGATACACCAGAAGCGATACAAACAACTATCGATAGGGCTATAAAAGATAATCAATTTATTTCGATTGCTGGAGGACGACATGCCATGGGATGTCAACAATTTGGTACTGATACGATTCTGATAGATACTACGCCATTGAATAAAGTATTAAATTTTGATAAGGAGAAGGGTCTAATTGAAGTTGAAGCTGGTACACAATGGCCAAAATTAATTGACTATCTTGTTGAAACACAAAAAGATCTACCTTGGTCAAAAAAATGGGGCATTGCTCAAAAGCAAACTGGTGCAGATCGATTGACAATTGGTGGAACATTGGCATGTAATGCTCATGGTCGAGGCTTGAAAATGCAACCTATCATTGCTGATGTTGAATCTTTTGCTCTATTTGATGCACAAGCTAATTTTATCACGTGTAGTCGCCAAGAAAATAAAGAACTCTTTGGATTGGTCATTGGTGGTTATGGCTTATTTGGTGTCATTTATTCGGTAGTATTGCGCTTAACATCTCGGCAAAAAGTAGAACGTATAGTAGAAGTTATTACCGCTGACAAATTACCAGAAGCTTTTGAACAGCGTATTCAAGCGGATTTTCTCTATGGTGACTTCCAATTTTCTACCAACGAAAAATCAGATGACTTCTTGTACCGTGGAGTTTTCTCTTGCTATCGACCAGTTGATTCGAACACTCCACTGGTAAAAGATCAAAAAGAACTTTCTGAAAAACAATGGAACGATCTCTATTATCTTTCGCATGCTGATAAAGTTGAAGCATTTCGCCAATATTCTACTTATTATTTATCCACTACAGGACAAATTTATGCATCTGATACTCATCAATTAAGTATCTATCTCGATGATTATCATCATGAACTTGATCATCGTCTTGGTACAGGAGAACAAGCTTCAGAAATTATTACTGAAATTTATGTTCCTCGTCCAGATCTTCCTGACTTTCTAGCCGAAGTTCGAGAAGATTTTCGAGCCAATAATGTGAATATGGTCTATGGAACAATTCGATTGATTGTACAAGACACGGACTGTTTTTTAGCTTGGGCAAAAAAATCTTGGGCCTGTATTATCTTTAATATAGATACAGTACACACACCAGAAGGATTAGAACATTCCGCCAATGCTTTTCGTCGTTTGATCGATATGGCTATTAAACGTGGTGGTAGTTATTATTTGACCTATCACACATTTGCTAGGCGTTCACAAATTGAAACATGTTATCCACAGTTTGCCGAATTTCTTCACCTGAAGCAACTTTATGATCCACAAGAACGTTTTCAAAGCGATTGGTATCGTTTCTACCGAAAGATGTTTGCTACAAACGATGCAAGTGCTTATTCAATGGATCCATTAGTTTGGAAAATGGAAAATTCGAAATGAGCTTCATACATTTTCTTTTTTCTCTTTTATTTTTCCACGTTCATTTTACAAGTTTTTTATTATTTAATGAGTGTTAACTCCGATATGCCAGAATTTATTCATTTAGACAAAAAGTTTCCGTTTTCACAAATATGTAGTTCGTTTCACTATCAGAATCCTTATCTAATAAAAATGTGATTGTGTGTAAGTTGAAAACTGTTTGTCATTCTCAAGTAATATGAATCCTATTAAAGTGAGAGAAACACCTTCATGGCCAAAGACAACAATGGCAAGAAAAATATTGCAGAAAAGCAGATGCATACTTGTTGCTTTGGTTCTAATTGCAAACATAACTAGAGTCATCAAGGTCATTGAATAAAATGTGTATAAATGATCTTGACAATATTTAATTAAATCGTTGCACAATACTGGCATTATAATTATTGATGAGTACGAAATTTTTATTCTTAGAAATTGTAAATCTCCAACATTTGCTAGGTAGAGGATAAGCAAGTTACAATCTTATAGTGAATTATATAAAATACTTACCAACGATTGAGTTCATAGTACAATAGCACGTTCGAAGGAAACGAGCTAATCAATTTTTTTTTATGCGAGAACCTAAAATTCATAGTTACTCATAAGTATCATCAAAGGGAAACAACGATTTATGATTTTGTGATTTAAATAAGTTTCTCTGATTTGGGTGTGGGTGTGGATGAGTTCAGTGGAGACTTAAACTCACACCCACACCCACACCCTCCAGTTTTCATTTTGTTCTTTTCCGTAATTCGATGTCACTACTCGCTGTGTTTTTCCCGTTGTCACATCTAGCTGTTATTGGGTGTACATATGCGTACACAACCACTAGGATGACTAATATATAGTCGTAGTCACAGAGCAGATGATGAGTAGGATAGAAGTAATGAAAATATTTTTTACAAATGAAAATCTAGCGGATGGTATTCATGTTTTCTTATAGTTCTATTCCTGGGTGTGGGTATGTGGTGGGTGTGGGTGTGGGATGTAGGTGTGGGTGTGTATGGTGTGGGTGTGTATGGGTGTGGGTGTGTATGGGTGTGGGTGCGGGTATGGGGTGGTTTTGGGTGTGGTTTTGGGTGAATGGAATACTTTTACCCACACTCACACCCACACCCACCCTCACCCTCACCCACCCACACCCTCACCCACCCTCACCCACCCACACCCTCACCCACACCCACATCCACACCCACCCACACCCACACCCACCCCACATACCCACCCCACACACCCACACCCACCCTTATAAGAAAGAATCATAATACTTCCTTTGAATATCAAAATAAATAAAAATTGATAGATTAATTATGATATGACTCATACAAACAAAACAAATATTGAGTAAATGTGATTAGAATTTTCTTTCCAACATTTTGTTTACATTTTATTTATGAAAATAATACACATTAATATATTGCGAACCAATAAAATTCATAAGATTACATTGTAAATGATTTTCGAAAAAAAGTACTTTTCTTTTTAGCATGTTTGCAATTATTAAGCACAGATTTTTTTGTTTTTCTTTTTTTCGCGCATTCCAATCTTAACTGAATTCCCATGTCAACTCTGACATGTGTATGAGATAAAGATAATTATTCCGGCTTCGTTTGCATTATTATATTTCAACATATAAAAAATCTTAATCAATCCACGGGATATCGATGATTGTAGTACTTCTCTTTTGTTCCTTATGGTTCAACATACAAAAATTCAACTTCCTCTATACACAATATACAGCTATACTTGTGCTGCTTTTGTTTTGCTCGATACACATCGATGTATAAAAACTGTTTTTATTCTATTTATGAGATCCAGTTGCTTGTTCGGGGTTTCTTTTGTTCCTAATATTTCAACATAGTGCTAAATCGACACATGAGACATAGATAGTTATTTTCCTTTTGTTTCGTTCAATATGTAGCCACATATAAAAATTGTGTCAAACCTATATATAAGATATAAATAATTATTCGAGCACTCTTTTGTTCGATATACTTCCATATATGAAGTTTGATTTTTCATCTATATATGACATATGGATAATTATTCGGTTTTTGTTTGGTTCGATATATTTTCATATATAAAGTTTGATTTTCATCCATATATGGCACATAGATAACTATTAGAGTTTTGTTTTGTTCGATATTGTTGTAAAAAGAAATTTTTTTTTTATCTATATATGACATAAATAAACATTGATCTATATATGACATATCGATAAATATTGGACTTTTGTTTTGTTGGATATCGTTGTAGAAATACAAGTTTTTTTTTATCTATATATGACATATAGATAATTATTCGGTTTTTTTTTTTTCGATAGACTTCGACATATAAAATTGATTTTATCTATATGTGATATAGATGAATGTGGCCGCTTTGTTTCCTTCGATGTGCTCCAACAATTAAAAGTTTATTTTGTGTGCTACCTATCAAATATAAGTAATTGTTCGACTTTTGTGTTGTTCGATATGTTTAGACATATTCAAGTTGTTTTCAATGTATCTTTGAGATAGCGATAATTGCTGGAGTTTTGTTTTGTTCCATACGCTTCAAGATGGAAAAATTGCATTAAATATATATATGGGATATAGGTATGCGTTCGACTTTTGTTTTTTTTCTATATATTTCGACGTATAAAAATGGTTTTTGATATATGTATGCGAGTCATACATAGGCATTTGAGTTGAGGTTTTTACGATATAGTTCGATGCTCAAAGATCCATTCTCTGATAGAGTTCGGAAAGCGGTGGATCACATCGGTGCGTTCGATTTCTAGTTACTTGTTTTGCTCTGCTGATTTTCACCTTTATCTTTTTTGTTTTCTTTTACTTCTTATATTTCGCTTTTTTTCTTTTACTTGTTGAACTTCTTTTCTACTTTTTACTATTTTTCTTCATGAATGATAATTTTTTGTACTCATATATTACTCTACTTCGATTGCTATCTTCAGAATTGTGTATGAGGATACTTCCGTTATTCTACTTCTCTTATTTAGATCAGTCTTTCAATGCAACAGGTAGAATTACTGTCACTTTCGTACTACATAAAACAAAAAGTAATAGCGTTGTTAACTTTGGCTATCCGTAAATTATAAGTGTTACATTTATCAAAGAGAGGAGCAATCGTAGAGAGAAGTTCCGTTCTCTGGTATTTTAGTGAAGTCCTATCTTTTGTTGTATTCGTTTTCTACTTATCACATTGTCTTCTCTCTCTTATGTTTGTTTTTTCTTGCTGATTTATCGTTTATCAGTGACTTCCAAGTTGTGTGCTAGTGAATTCAAAAATTAAAAGATTTTTGCAACGCACGAAGCCACTGTAAACTATATTTAGTCTAGTGGTTTTTGAGAACATCAAAAAATATATATCCTAGCATAATTCAATGATGATCTTAGAATATGATTTTATAGAATCATGACTGATCGTATTGCAGGATCGTATACGACAACTTGATGTTAGACTTGACATAAGATTTCTTAGACTATGATTTTTCGCATGATACTGCATGTACATGTACGAATATTGAACAAGATCGGATATGTTCATATAAAATTTCATGTTTGATCATACTATCTGATTGTTCGGCCTGGGAGGTTTCGGTTGGTTAGACCGCTGTGTTCGTGTCCTTAATGATGCCACTGTCCATGACTAAAATCCAGGATATTTTTTTCAATCGTATCGATAGAGAGTCTCACATTTTAGTGTCATTCTCTTCTTTAGACAGACTAGATGATTAGTCGTCAGCATTATCCGAGGTCCCTTTTGCTTCTTTCTTTTAGTTCAGTTTTATTTCGAATGACCCGGCCCAAGATAGAGAGCATCGCGATGAGAGAGAAAAAAAGAATCAAAGAATGTAAATAAAGAGAATGAAAACAACAGAGACAAGAAGCGAATGCCAAGAGCGAACAGAGAGAAAATGAACAATAACAACTGAAGCGATGTGAAGGTATGTGAACAACATGCCTGTAACATACCTCCCCACCAACCAGAAAATGTGTGTCCACATACATTAAAAGATACCGAAAAAAAATTGAAAGAATCGGATTAAGATGATAAGCGAAAATATGTGTGAAGATGCGGCAGTATAATGATGCAGCAGAAAGTGAAAGAATAAAAAAAAGAAACGAAAGGAACTGATAAAATCTGAATATATAATCGAGAACAAAAAACGTGTGAGCACAAAAATGATAATAATAAAAAAAAACATTATAGTGGTATTATTAAAAATGAAAGAAGAATGAGGGTTGTAAGTACCTTTAGAATTTGAGCAGTGGTAAAGCAATTGGAGATGCATAGCGTACATCAGGTGATTTAGCAGCCTGTTCTAAAATATCGAGACGACGGAGGGTACTCATTAGTACATTGCCCACCGGATGAAGTTGACTAAGACCAGATGCATCAAGTGCTTGAAGAGCGAGAGGTTGACGATGACGTATAGATCGACGAAGGCGGCGATATACGAAGAATATAATGACGATGTCAATGATAATAGTGCTTCCAAGGAATATATTGTGTCTGATCGCGATGAGTGCTATGTGACTGTTTTAAGACAGTAATGCGGTTGTGAAGGTATGTGAACAACATGCCTGTAACAAGCATCCTATAACAAAACTTTTCTTCTGTCTCACTTATCACTAATCGACATAGCCGTATAATATAAATGGTTGAATAAGGAAGTATTGAAGACATTTATGAAAGGATATATTTTTCTATCTTTTAGACATAAGTATTCATTTAATCGAAATAAAAAAATGTCCGGTGAATCCAGACCAAATGTTTCTTACACCTCTGTACCCACAAAGTAAGTCAAGCATGAATTAATGAGAAAATAAATAATAGATATTTACATGTGCGTATTGGGAAAATATTTTTTTTGAACAATTGTATCCAATGTAGTTATTCTGTTTATAATCATTCTAGTGCATCGTCACGACCAAAGAACTGTTGCATATTTCTGTTGGTCGGTATTATTATTCTTTTATTATTATGTGGTGTAATCGGATTTTTCCTTTTATACGACCAACGACGAAATGAACCAATCCATACACAAGCAATAACAATAGGTATGCATTAACAAATTCCCTTAACTCAACGAAATAAACTAATAATAATCTCTAATTGAATAATAAATTTAGCCGATGACACCAAAGATCTGTGTTTAACTCCAGAATGCATTCAAGCAGGTCAGTATAGGTAGTTAGTTAAATTTTTGAAATCTTTTTATTATCCTTTTAGCAAACACCCTTCTCGAAAGTATTGATGAAACAGTGAATCCTTGCGAAAACTTTTATGAATTCAGTTGTGGAAAATGGATTAAAAATGCAAAAATACCAGCTCAGAGTAAGTCTTTACTAACGAAATGAAATGTAAAATTCAGCTCTTTTCAGATTCCAAACAAGATTCTCTATCACAAATGAAGACAAATTTGGAGAATGCACTTGTTGGTATAGTCGATTATCTTTGATGTTTAATATATTCTCTCGTTTATTTTTCAAAGATCTGATATCATCGTCACCAACAAATGGAACAACAGAACCAAAAGCAATCACTAATGCTCGCCATTGGCACAATTCATGTATCAACGAAAGTGCTATCGAAGAGGAAGGTGTCGATGTTATACTTTCATTCATCAATAAAGAACTTGGTGGATGGCCTGTCTTGTTAGGTGATACATGGAATGATCAACATTTGACTTTAATCGTCTAATACTCAAATTAAGTCAGCATAATCATTTCATACCATATACGGTAGAGACAACTATCGACCGAATGAATTCATCGTTGCGAAGCATTAAAGTAAGACTCAGCAGAGTTGGAATTGTTGATGATGATTCTTTATCTTTCAGATAGAGCTAACTACTGGTTTAGAAGTCAATCTAATATCCACGTTCAAAGATCTGGGAAAAATGGAGACTTACTTAAAAATCTTTCAGAAGTTTGCTGCAGCATTGACCAATGATTTATCAACAATCAGGATTGATGCCATTGACGTATTCACGCTTGAACTTCGGATTCTACTAGTAAATCACTTTTCTCGAGTATATTTTTACTATACTTTTGTAAATAGTCTTATCTTAAGAGTCGAATTCTATCGCTAAACATTGCTGTTCGCACAACAATCGGCAGTCTCTCTCGTGCAAACATCCTAAGTGTAAGTACTGGTTCTTGCATGAAATATTGTATTCTTTTCACACTCCTATTTAGTCTGACTTCATTGATTATGTTCGTCGTCTTTATCTATCCGCAAATGTATATCTGACGAATACAGATACTGTAACTATGATTTCGCCTGAAATTATTGTTGATATTACATCAATATTTGAGAAACAATCACCTCGTACTGTACAGAATTTTTTAATATGGCGCTTTATGATTAATCAAGCTTGGAAAATGCCAAAGCAATTCAGAGATCTGGAACAACAATATAGACGTATATTTGATCCCATAAGTGAGGAGAGGCCACGTCCAGTTAGATGTGCTAAATATCTTGGTGAAACTATGGGATCTGTGATTTCTATGATTTACATAGATAAATATTTTAACAAGGATTTTCGAAAAGAGGTACTCAAAATCCTAGATTGTTATAAAATCATCGTCGATCGGTTTTTCTTTTTTTGCAGCCTAGTGCCATGGTCAGCAATATTCGTGATGTCTTCATTAATATGGTTAATCAATCGACATGGATGGATTCGAAGTCAAAAATTGAAACGATTAAAAAAGTAGGATTATCAAGAAAACGATGACACAATAGGATTACAATAAATTTTATACAGGTTCAAGGTATAAAAGCAAAAATTGGTTATCCTGATTATTTTGAGAAGGATTATATGATAAAACTTGAGAAAGAATATGCAGAAGTATAACATAAAAACTCGTTTATTATCTTTATCAAATATTTTTCATTTTTTTCTGTAAATCTAGTATAATTTTAATTCATCTTTGATGCTGAATGCTTTGAAGTTAAATCAACTTAATTCGAAAAATGCACTTCGAGCACTTCGTGATCCGATCAATAAAAACGAATGGATGATTACTCTGCCAACAACTATCAGTGCTACATATCACATCTTGTTGAATGACATTAGTAGGAGATATGTTCTAACAATAACATATAGTTTATTCGATGTCTTCTTTAGCTATTCCTGCAGCTTTTCTTCAAAACCCTCTTTTCAACAACAACGTACCAAAGTAAAAGTTTAAGTTCATATACTGAAATGTATTATTTATATGTGTTTGATAGGTACATCAACTATGGTGGTAGGGACAAGTTCGATTTGAAAATGAAAAGAAAAAATAAGTATTGAATTTAGGAATTGGTTTCATTATTGGACATGAGATTGCACATGGTTTTGATGATGATGCTCGAAAGTATGACATGCATGGGAATGAATTTTCGTTATGGACGAATAGGACCATTGAAGTATTTCATAAACTCAAGCAGTGTTTTGTCGATCAATACAACAATTATACACTGACTCAAGTCAATCAACAGGTCTTTCTTCCTTTCTTTAAATTTCCACCTGTTTCAAAAAATATCTTTTTGTCATTTAGGTCGCAGGTGAACGTACAAAAGATGAAAACGTTGCTGATATTGTTGGATTGAAAATGGCTTTCATCGTAAGTTTCATCATTCACTAGTTGTATTTTTCCATCTGTTTATTTTCAAGGCCTATCGAAAATGGGCTCAAAGTCATAGAAACGTCGATAAGAAGTTGCCAGGTCTCACAAAGTTTTCAGATGAACAGATGTTTTTTCTCAGTTTTGGTCATGCATGGTGTGAGAAAATGTCCGACACTGTCGCAAAGTTTTATTTGATAGCAGATACACATTCACCTCCTCAATTCAGGTAGAGTGTTCGTTTTATATAGATCGTTATGTATTCTCATGAATGTGTTTTTTCTTTAGAGCAATTGGTTCTACGTCGAATTTAGCCGAATTCGATCGAGCATTTGGTTGTAAGCCTGGTCAAAGCAATAGTCGAGTGGATAAGTGTAATATGTGGTAGTACACAGTTACTCTTATTTTGAATAGTGACATTTAATTGTTAGAGCTCGTTATATTTATTCATCATTACATTATATTTTTATTTTATTCTCAATTTTAATCGCGATATTTTTTTTCATTATTGAATAATAATCAAGATTTATCTGTCTTTATGTACTGTTACTGATTGTTTGCTACAACTTTATCTAATTTTTGCAGAATGATTCACTAAAATAAATAATAATTCTCGTAATTCATAGAGTTCAACTGAATAGATATAATATGCGATAATCTATTTGTATAATGAGAAAAAACGAAATAAAGTCCAAAAAAGAAGAGCGCAATGTAACACTTATTTTGATCACATGTTTCTGTAGCAACAGAAAAGCGCATAGAAATATCGTTTCATTATTCATTCGAGTACCATTACAATAGTACGTCTAACTGACGATCTTACGTATGATGTTGCTTCAAGAGTTCAGAAGGTAGTATTTACATATACGTATACATTCTTGATTTTATTGAGTCGATGTTACAATAAACTTAGAGACATCTTGAACTTCGAAGTTTGGAAGATGTTATCGAAGTGAAATGAATCTTAAGTATTGATTCATTAACACTGATTTCGTCATTTTCATCAATAGTTACGAATGAGATGGCATAAATCAAATGATATCTGCGATAATTTACTCTCCTATCTCATCACAATTCAAAGCTTTGCTAATAATATCTTCTAATTAACCTTGCATTGAAGATTCATCATAGGATAAATATCAGCCTGAGAAAAGAATATTGGGTTCATAGCAAACAGAACATCAAATCATTGTTCAATCTCATTGATTCAAAGTTTCTTGAAAATTATTAATTATTAATATACAGACTAAAATGTTCTGATGAGCCTGATATGTTTAAACTTTCTTCTTTGACACTATACCCTTTCTACACGGTTGGAAAAAATATTATTCCAGGGGGAGTAACGCTATAATTTCACATAGAAGACATAATGAATTTTATATCAAATGAAAGCTCGTCAAAAATGAAGTTTATTGGTATTAAATAGTGAGGGTTATGAAAACCTTTTAAGGTCGAGTTTAATAAATTTTCAGAAATTTTATACTTTTTTCGGGATGGAAAATTAAAGTACCAGTGATTCAAGAATGGAGTAAAATGTTTTTCTTGAATATTTTTATCCGATTCAATAGAGCTCGTCGAGCTCTACAAAAGTGTATACATTAAAAAATTTTAAGTCACTTTTTTGCGATAAAAAATTCAAAAAACTATTTGAAAAATCTTAGAAAACATTAAAAAAGTTCAT